TTTTTTTTTTTTTGGGTGACAGAGCCTCTGTTGCCCAGGCTGGAGTGCAGTGGCATGATCTCAGCTCACTGCAACCTCTGTCTCCTGGGTTCAAGTGATTCTCCTGCCTCAGCCTCCCAAGTAGCTGGGATTACAGGCATGCGCCACCACATCCAGCTAATTTTGGATTTTTAGTAGAGATAGGGTTTCACCGTGTTGGCCAGGAGTGTCTCAAACTCCTGACCTCAAGTGATCCACCTGCCTCAGCCTCCCAAAGTGCTGGGATTACAGGCGTGAGCCACTGTGCTTGGCCCAGACTTCCTTTTTTCTAAAACATTAGGTTGGTAACCAACCTAATATTTTTTTCCTCCACTTTTGGCTGGGCATGGTGGTGGCTCATGCCTGAAATTCCAGCACTTTGGGAGGGCATGGTGGGTGAATCGCTTGAGGTCCGGCCAAAATGACAAAACCCTGTGTCTACCAAAAAGACAAAAATTAGCCAGGTGTGGTGGTGGGCACCTAGAAGCCCAGCTACTTGGGAGGCTGAGGCACAAGAATTGCTTGAACCCAGGAGGCAGAGGCTGCAGTGAGCCAGGATCATGCCGCTGCACTCCAGCCTGGGAGACCGAGCTAGACTCTGTTAAATAAAAAATAAATAAAATATTTTTCCTTCACTTATTCCACATCCTCTATCTCTGTTCTTCCTCTCCCAGTTGTTTCCTTCCCTTTTTCCCCTTGATCTTCCTCCAATGACTCTTTCCAGAGGATGCTGTATCCCACTGGTGCCAGTGCCAAACCCTGCTGATGTTGGCAGAGCAGTATTTTTCCCAGTGACCTTGGTTTTATTATTTTTAATTCTCTGGGTTCACATCAGTGTTGTAATACAGTCAGTTTTACAGTCCACAGAAATGATAGCGGTGCCTTGAGCGGCGTATGGCTGAGGGGTCATGATGCAGAGTCCCAGCTCTACCGCACAGAGCCTCACCCACTTCCCTGCCTCCACATCCTCACCATGGAAATAGGAGCACTGTTGGTACCTACCTCGTGAGGGCGGTTCTAGAATTATTCAAGCACATCATCTAAGATGCTTTGTACAGACCCTGGTACATTGTAACCACTCAATAATGTCAGTTCCTCTTGAAAAGCATCATCCAGGCCCTGTTTGCACAGAGTTAATTGCTTCTGTACTTTTTTTTTCTTTTTTGTTTGTTTGTTTTTTTGAGACAGAGTCATGCTGTGTTGCCCAGTTTGGAGTGTAGTGGCGTGATCTCCGCCGACTGCAACCTCTGCCTTCTGGGTTCAAGCAATTCTCCCACCTCAGCCTCCTGAGTAGCTGGGGTTACAGGTGCGTGCCACATGCCTGGCTAATTTTTTGTATTTTTAGTAGTGACAGGGTTTCACCATGTTAGCTAGGCTGGCCTCGAACCCCTGGCCTCAAGTGATCCTCCCACCTGGGCCTCCCAAAGTGCTGGGATTACAGGCATGAGCTGCTGGGCCCGGCCGCTTCTGGTACATTTCTTAAATGTCCTGTGAAAGTTCATCTGGAATGGGATTTGCTGGGAATTCATTTTATAGACAAGGGAAGGATGTAGTCTTGTCAGATATGGTGACTTAAAGGTCATCTTAAAGGACTTAGAACTCAGCTGAGTGTGGTGGTAGATGCTTGCAGTCTTAGCTGCTTGGGACGCTGATGTGAGAGGTTCGCTTGGGCCTGGAAGTTTGAGGCTGTGATGAGCTATGACTGGGCCACTGCACTCCAGCCTGGGCAACAGAGCAAGACCCTGTGTCAAAATAAAAAAGACCTATAGAAGCATTAGTGCTTGAGGTAACTATTAGCATGTGCTGACAGAGGTCTAGTGCCTTTACCTTGCTGCTGAGTCCCTCCAGATTACTGGCCTTCCCATGCCCTTTCTCTTCTCTGGGCTGCTAATGCTTTCCTTCCCCATAGTAGTAATACTACTGATTAACAAATTGGTACATTCTCTGATCTCGCTTCAGAGGCTGTTTCTGTGCATTGAAGATGTATATACAGTCTTAATTCAAAAGAGATAGCATTTATGTGCTGCCACATTAAACAGATTGCAACAGTATTACTATTGAGTTTGTGTTGCCTCTGTGCAACCCTCATCGTGCCCAGGAACAAATGAAACCACCAGAGACCTGGAGCCTCAGGTTCATTCAGTGGTGTCCCAGGGAAGGGGATTGGAGGGTTTATTCCCAGGAGGCCTCTGAAATCTAAGAGCTATTAACAAGGAGTTATAAATCATCTTTAGTAGCTACAGGCCCAGGCTGTGGCTAGAGCCCTAGATGGGAGAAATGAATGGTAAGATTGGTAGAGTATTGCTCATATAAATATGTAAGCTGTTTTACTGGCACACTGTATCTGGTGATATTAACATGATAAGCTATTGGTAGGATTTTTATCAGATCGTAGAAATATATTTATAGCCTATTTCCTGTTATATACTGAAAAGCTACTAATGGAATAGTAGACAATGATATCAGTAATAGCTTAAAACAGTCTTCACTGTCACTTACCTGATTTCGGGAATGACAGGTTTCTTTCATGCATAAGGTACTGGATACATTAAACACGTGCACACACAGATATGGCATTGCGTTCTAGTCATATCCTAAAGAAAAACGATGGTGCAGTATGTTATTTACAGAGCTATACTCTGTGTGAGTGACTGTGTGTGTGTGTGGTGGAGGTCAGGGATGACTTGTTTGTAATATACCTTAAGGAAGTCTGTCCGAATTTGCCCTTCAAATACTAAATAAATTCACCTCTTACCTCAAACAGCCTTTCAGTTCCCTTTTACTAATTTTGTTTAATAGAAAGGCAAGTCAAGACCAGGGATGGTGGCTCACACTTGTAATCCTAGCACTTTGGGAGGCTGAGGCAGGAGAATCACTTGAGCCCAGGAGTTCAAGGTTCAAGACTAGCCTGGGCAACATAAGGAGACCCTGTCTTTACCCCCCCAAAAAAAAAAAAAAAGGCAGCAGCAGCAGCTGGGAATGGAGGACTGAGCCAGGGACTGTCCCACTGCACTCCAGCCTGGGCAACAGAGCAAGATCCTGTCCCAAATAAAAATAAGACAGCTATTCTACCCTGTCTGCACCTAAATAAGCTCATCTTATTTTTTGTCTGAAATTGTTGCAAACTCCCAGGTCTGCTAGTTTTCAGAAACCTTGGATGTCAATAAGGAATAGTTCTCAGTTGCTTATGAGTATCATGGATTTCTTTTGGCTTAAAGTTCAAAACAGCCAACAAGCAGAGCTAGCAACCCATAGAGAGATATGAAGAATATTTTCATAGATGTGTTTGCTGAATGAACAAGGCTGGCTGAATTTTTTTTTTTTTTTTTAGACAGGGTCTCACTTGGTTGCCCAGGCTGGTGTGCAGTGGCACAGTAGCAGCTCACAGCAGCCTTGATGTCCCGTCTCAGCCTCCTGAGTAACCAGGACTACAGGTCAGGAGGCCACCACACACGCCCGCCTGAGTTTTAAAATTTTTTTGTCTCCCTGTGTTGCCCAGGCTGGTCTCAAACTCTAGGACTCAAGCCATCCTCCTGCCTTGGCCTCACAAAGTCAGCCACTGCGCTCAGCCCTGAATTCTTAATTACAACCAAAACAGATGCTTATGGATTTTCCTGCTTTACAACTCTTGTCTCTTTTACCTGTAAATGTAAGATCTTGACAGCTCATATTTGCCTTTGCTTTTGTGTCCCAATAGTTCTATCCTTGGTAAGCCTCTGTGGAAACTACAGAATCTTACAAATATAAAACACTTTCAGAAAAACATCCAAAAATGGACACCTGACATTTAGACTCCCTAACATCTTGATCCTGTTGAAGAAAGGAGATGAGCACAGCTGGTTTTCAGTAGTTCTTCACTCCACCTTACTAGGTTCATCTGGACGCAATGCTGTGGGGGCCAGACGAAGAAGCTGGGATTGTGAGGGATCCTACTAGACTTTACGGCTGGAGCGCCCAGGAATACTCTCATAAGGAATACTAACCCAAAAGGAAGTCAGCCTCAACTCTGACAGCAACACCTTTCATAAAGTACGCGTTAATGCTTTATGTGTACAAATAAATACTTGTGGTACTTTTCACTATGGCAAGCTCAGAAAACGCATGAAGATACGTAAGCTAGTCAATTAGGTGGGTAGATGGTGCCTGCACCCTTTGCTCTGACCGAGACTGGAATTGTGAGCAATGTCCTCTCCTGTTCTCCACCCACCTCCCCACCCCCCCAACCCCCACCGCACTTCACTGACAGCGGCGATGTCAAGTAGGCAGCTAGGAATGTCCTAAAGGGAATCATGGGTAACTTGTAAGCTACCTCAACTTATTTTTGTTAATTATGTACGGTATAAGATGGATGGAGCTGGGTTCTTGTGCCTTTCTCACCTTGTCTGCATAGAGATGTAGCTGCTCCTGCAGGCCAAAGTTTTGCGCGAATCACCTCCACCTGCGTCCCATTGGGAAACAAAGGTCTGAGAGCCTGTTTGGTGATGAACCACGATGATCTCCTTAACACTCAAGCCACCCCTCAGAAAATCGGGTTTCTTTCTGTTTCCATTCATATATGTAATCTTCGCTTCAGACAAACATGACACCTCACTATTCTACGCAGTTTTGAATCCCGCTTTTAAAATGGGATGTCTGCCTTGTCTTTAAGTTTTCTGAGGAGGAGAGGGGAAGTGTAATGGGACCGTCTATAATTTGAAACCCTACCTCACTATTTTGCGTCTCAGAAAACGCGGGCTTCATTGCCCTGGTTCCCCACCGGTCCCCCAACCTTCCGGCTGGCTCTCTAGCGGTCCTCGCCTCGGCGCTGACGTGGTCGGGCGGCGGGGATTGGCGTCCGGGCGGAGCACGGTGGGCTTCCCGGCGGCAGGCAGGCTGCTGCTGCAGGTGGGTCCCGGCGCCCGCCCCGCCCCGCCCTCCACCTCCCGCGGTCGCCCCGCCCCTGCCCGCCCGCTCTGCTCGCATTGGCGCTGCGGGCTGTCTGTCCCCGCGCGGTGGGGAGGGGGCGCACCAGGCGGCGGGTTCTGCAGAGGGCGCCTTGCTCCGGGCGCGACCGCGGCTCCCTGGAGGCCTGGGTGTCGGGCCCTGCGAGCGCGCTGCGACCTCGGGAGCAGTGTTGGCCAAGGACCCCGGCGCCCTCCGTGAGTGAAGGCAGGGCGGGGAGGCTGCGGGGGAGGAGGGTCGGGGCAGTGTCAGGTCTGCGGATCGCGGAGTGGGCAGGGGGTGCCCACTGGACACTGGGGATCGGGGCCCCCTGAGGTGCTGGGATCACGGGAGGTCGCTTGTCTGCAGGAATCCGCGGCCAGGGCGACCCTCATCAGGTCTGCCCACCTATTCCCTTCGCGTTACAGCTGGTCTTAGAAGCAAGGGTTGCCGGTGGCTTTTTTCCTTCTTTATCCCTCTTTGGGAAATGTGATTTTGGGTTTCTAGCCATTACATTATAATTCTACAGACAGCTTGAAGCTGGGTTATCTGTTCCACGCCCCCGGCATTTTCCTTTTTGAGTACTTTATCCTGCGCTCTGTCTCCTGCCATAAGGGGCATCAAGCCAGAATTCGAGATTCCTTCCTCCAGGAGGAAGCTTCGTGGTCCATATCTGGTGCTGGGAAAGATACATTGCTTTCCTCGGGTAGTGGTTGCTCTTTGCTGCTCAAGGGGGAAAGGGAAGGGGGGTGTTTTCTGTGATAGGAGACTTGCAATTCTATCAGGAAATGAGCACAGGGACTTTAAGATTTCCCGAGGCGATAAAGCTACCCTTGCTGGTTAAGGGGGAATCATTTGCAGTCTGACATTCTGCAAAGTTTTAATATCTACAGACAGAATTATTTTCCCCCTTTCAATTAAGTTTCTGTTTGGGCATTCATTTTATTTCTAGGGTGTATATACATTTAAGTAAGCTTCTTAAACTATTGTCTTTGCACATACAGGTTAGTTTCTAAAGGATACACTCCTAAACATCTCATTTCAATATTTCTATTATATGGTAATACCTCCTCTGCTTAACAAAAATGCTCAGGTGCTGAAAACTCACAAGAGGCGAGAAGATTTAAACAGTTATCAGCTGAGGTTCTAGTACTCACTGAAGCATTATAAATTTGAGGAGAAACACTGTCGAATGTTCATATTTCAGTTCCGTCATTGTTCTAGAATGACTTTATCTTTCTCGTAGAGGTATAAAGTATGAAACACCCAACCTAAGGGAATATTTACTTAGATCATAAACTGATTTTCAGGGTTCCAGTTCCTTATACAGTTCATAAAATTATGGGTTATCCAAATGAAACTTCAGTGAAGGATTTACATGAAAACAGTATAAAGAATGAGTCCCTTTGCTTATTTTAGGGCATCCATCCACTAAAATTCATAGGATCTTTGTTAGATAATCACCTCCCATTTCCATTCTTTGGTGCTATCATACCATTCTGTGGATTAAACTTTCAATACACCTTTATATTATCTAACAGTTTGCCAACTGCATAGTGTGTCAACTTATTTTTGGCTTTTAAATTACTTCCTGAACATATATATATATATATATATATATATATATATATATATATATACACACTTTCAAAAGCTTGGTTTCCAAATAACAAGAACTCAGTCTGGTCTTGGTTCAATTTATGAGTTGATTGATGGGTACCTTGTAATTAACCATTAATCAGTTTTTAAATTTCTTTACTAAGAATATACTGCAGATTAGTATCCCCAAAGGATTCATTTTCTAATGAAACTCTTAAAGCCCAGTTTCAGAACATAAGCTTTAAGCAACAAGCAATCTTGTGTTTAACCTGAGCTCTGTTACAGCGATGCCTTAATCTCAGCCAAATTGCTTCATCTGTAGATGGTGACACCACCACCTTTGTAATATTATGGTGAGGATTAGAAATGTATGTAAAAGTGTGTGCACTGCCTAATACCCAAGAATTGCTCAATAAATGTCAGCTATTATTAACTTCCTGACCTCCAACTATGTGCATGGTGGAAACATGATACAGCAGATAGAGTACTTAAATGAAAATGTCAAAATTATACAACTAATTTAAGAGTGTAGAATGACAGTAATGCTAAATTTTCCTAAGAGTATGTATGAAAAGTAGCACTTCCTTGATGGAACATACATTTTTAGAACAGAAACCTTATGTTATAATGGAAAAACTAGAGTGTCAAAGTCTCTACTGCTAACTCTAGCTATGACCTTATCTAGCTGCATGGCTTTTGACAAGACAATTGCTCCCTTTTGGCGCTCAGTTTTGTCATCTGGCTGGATCTGAGTAATCTCAAATAATCTCTAAAGTCCTTTCTTTAAAGTTATTTATTGAGTGTGATAAAAATTACATTAGCTTGCTTTTCATCCTGCACTTCATTTTTGGTTCTTGTTGTTAATTCCTTAACTTGCACTTTAGAATCATAAGCAATTCGTACGGACAGCACAACTAAAGAATTGATAATATCAAACTTGCAGAGTAATCCAAAATGAAGTTTCAGCAAAGAGGATAAAACAAAACAATCACACTGAACTCTTTAATAGGGCCAAAATAAACCCCAATCATTATTCTTAAGCCATTTCATTAGTAAATACATGGAAAATATGTCTGGTAGAATCTTACACATTCAACTGAAAGTCTCCATAGAAAAGAATAGCCTCACAGTGAAATAAAATACCACTTTCTTTTCTCTCATCAGGTTGATCTTTAAATAAAGCAAAAATTTATCCAGTAAAGGGTTTTCATGAAGAAATTTAAAGAGAGAAATTGCAAGCAATAGAGAAACTAAGCATTTCTATACTAGAGAAACCACCTAAAACAACTGTACGGAGTAAGATGAAAGGAATGAATACACCTGGAAGAAATTTTACCTAGTGTGACATTTTTGCCCATCTTTTTGTCACAAAGGCTAAGGAAGAGAGAATATAGTTTTCTAGAGAATAAGAGTACAATGTGAAAATGGCAACCACAGTTTCAGAAATTCATGTAGAAAACAAAGATGAGAAGAGATCAGCAGAAGGTAGTCCTCGGGCTGAAAGACAGGAGGAGAAAACATCCATGCTTTGCTTCAAGAGACGAAAGAAAGCAGCTAAAGCATTGAAGCCCAAAGCTGGCTCTGAAGCTGCTGATGTAACAAGGAAGTGTCCACAAGAAGCAGGAGTTTCTGATCAGCCAGAGCCCCCACGGGGGGCCTGGGCCTCACTCAAACATCTTGTAACACGCAGGAAAAGGTCGGAGTCTTCAAAGCAGCAAAAGCCATTGGAGGCTGAAGTGCAACCTGAAATAAATGCTGAGGATGCTGATCTTTCTAAGAAAAAGGCAAAATCTAGACTTAAGATTCCCTGCATAAAATTCCAAAGAGGGCCAAAAAGGAGGAATCACTCCAAAATTATAGAAGACTCAGTCTGCAGCATCAAAGTCCAGGGAGAGGCTGAAAATCTGGATCTACAAACACAGACCCCATCAAACGATCAGGCAACAAAGGCTAAGTCAACCCAGGATCTAAGTGAAGGCATCTCACGGAAAGATGGTGATGAGGTCTGTGAATCAAATGTGAGCAATAGCATTACTTCCGGAGAGAAAGTGATTTCAGTAGAACTTGGATTAGATAATGGGCATTCTGCTATTCAAAAGGGAGCTCTAATCCTTGAAGAAATTGAAACAATCAAGGAAAAACAAGATGTTCAACCCCAGCAAGCAAGCCCACTTCAAACTTCAGAAACAGACCATCGGCAACCAGTACCTTCTGATGTTACTCCTTTACCTACAGTCCCAGATCAACAAATTGTAGAAGAAGCCAGTAACAATATCCTAGAAAGTGCACCAAATGGGAAAGACTATGAAAGCGGAGAGACTGTGGCTGAAGAAACTAAGCCAAAAGATACGGAATTGAGCCAAGAACCAGATTTTAAAGAAAATGGGATCACTGAAGAGAAATCCAAATCAGAAGAAAGCAAAAGAATGGAGCCAATTGCTATTATTATTACAGACACTGAAATCAGTGAATTTGATGTTAAGAAATCTAAAAATGTCCCTAAGCAATTCTTAATTTCAACAGAAAGTGAGCAAGTAGGGGTTTTTGCTAATGATAATGGTTTTGAGGATAGAACTTCAGAACAATATGAAACACTCTTAATTGAAACAGCCTCTTCTCTTGTCAAGAATGCTATTCAGTTGTCAATAGAACAGCTGGTTAATGAAATGGCATCTGATGATAAAATAAACAATCTTCTACAGTGACTTACTCTCCAGAGTCATGGGAGAAAAACCAAGCTTAATGAAGAATTATTTTATACATTTGTGGCATTTCTTACTCAGTTAACGAATGAGAGATTTATCATCTCTGGAACTTAAAGGTACAATTATAGTGCAGAAGTGCTAAAGATTGTCAAGTTTATAAAACTCTACCACTGAAATGCAGTCATTTCTGGATTGGAGGAAGTCAGCACGGATTGCACTGTGTAAAGTAACACAACACACAGGGAGTTGCTAAAACGGCATATGGAGACTGGAGTGCTTTGGGGGAGGAAAATGTATTTATTGAGCACTTATGGTATGCCATAAGCTCTTTAATGACCTCTGATATAACAAAGTCTGGTTTCCTTTTGGTAATTTAGCTCTGTGTATAGGCTAACATCACACTGAGTTTTTAAAAACATTTTTTACAGTGGACATATATGCTGTTTAAAATGGTGAATAAGGTGAGCTACTTTTGTGAATGTGATTTGTAATTGTTACATTCCTAAGCATTAGGCTTAACTTGAAAAATATATTGCATTTTCCCAATTTCAGCAGATAGTGTGCAGAATATGCATATTGAAATTAAATATGAGTGGTTTTCTAGTCTTGCTTAAGTCCTTTATAAGAAAGAGCCATTTGGCCAGACGCAGTGGCTCACGCCTGTAATCCCAGCACTTTGGGAGGCCGAGGTGGGTGGATCACTTGAGGTCAGGAGTTCAAGACCAGCCTGGCCAAAGTGGTGATACCGTGTCTCTACTAAAAATTTTATAAAAATAAGCTGGACATGGCAGCGGACGCCTGCAATCAGCTACTTGGGAGGCTGAGGCAGGAGAATCACTTGAACCTGGGAGGTGGAAGTTGCAGTGAGCCAAATTCATGCCATTGCACTCCAGCCTGGGTGACAAGAGGGAAACTCTGTCTCAATTAAAAAAAAAAAAAAAAAAAAAAGCCATTCACAAATCCTTCATTCAGGCAAACTGTTACAATGTGCAAAAGGGTAGAAACAGGGAGTGGGTTTTTACCTCTCTTCTTTCTGCCTCAACAGATCTGTATATATCCATTTCTGCATGGATTTATCTGTGAAAAGTTAAAAAGTGAAACAGCAAAAACAAAAGGGGAATATTATTGTTCATCCAGGAGAAGGAAAAATTCCCAAGTAAATTGTCACAGATAATATAGGATTCATCTTGCAGAATTACTTCTTTAAGAGCCATATTCATTAACCTCTCTCCAAAGAGGGGAGAGTAAATTCAAAGCCAGCCTGGTAGTAATGGTCCTGGAAAATCCTAATAATCTAGGGCAAATATTATTTATTCTTGGCCAAAAATGAGCCATGAATGTGGCTGAATAGAAATTGAAAAATTATTGCTAAAGCACATTATAATTTAAATGTCAGTTTTCCTTTGTGTCTATGTGTTGAGACCAGTAAAAAGCATTTTACATGGATATTGAAAATTAACTTTTTCATCACTATTTTCAATCCAGATGTACTTTATAAAAATGAGAAGGGCTTATTTGCATTTTTATTTACTGATTGAAAGGGAAATATCTGATCTCATCAGTGATTGCCATATTTTTTGAAAAAGTAATCCTATTTCAATCTTTCCTTGTGTGAAATGGCCATAATACTACAATGCACTTCCCTACCTCACAGGTTAGGATTCAAAGTGTATAGTCCCCCATTGTGTAAATTGAGTGTGTTACTACTTGAAATAGATGAAGTAATAAAGTATGGGATGTAAGGTATTTGTTAAAGAGCTCCACTTGTGGGCTGGGCGCGGTGGCTCAAGCCTGTAATCCTAGCACTTTGGGAGGCCGAGGCGGGCAGATCACAAGGTCAAGAGATTGAGACCATCCTGGTCAACATGGTGAAACCCTGTCTCTACTAAAAATACAAAAAATTAGCTGGGCATGGTGGCGCCTGCCTGTAATCCCAGCTACTCAGGAGGCTGAGGCAGGAGAATTGCCTGAACCCAGGAGGCGGAGGTTGCGGTGAGCCGAGATCGCGCCATTGCACTCCAGCCTGGGTAACAAGAGCGAAACTCCGTCTCAAAAAAAAAAAAAAGAGCTCCACTTGGAGGAAAGAATGCACATTAGCTGATTTTAAATGATCTGGGTAAAGTCTTGCATTGCTTAAGGATTGATTATAGAAAGTATGTGCTAATTTGTCCTACAATCATCTGTTTCATTCTGTAAATACATATTGAGACCTCTAACAAAGGAAACTAATCTGACTTTGAAACCGAACCAAATCATGGATATTACTGGCAAGATTCTTTGCTGAAATGCAGAAATATTTCCCCACCTTTGCACATATAATCTTGTGGAGGGGGGAATCCTTCAATTTAGCAAGATGAAAAGTGTGTCGTTCAAAACACATGACCCAAGTAGTCAGTTTCTTTTAACTGTACAACTTTTAAACATTAAAAAAAGATGAAGTCATCTTCTCTGAAAACACTCTTTAACTCACTATATGTGGTGCTAATGGACTTGGACAGCTACCAGCAAATATATATCATATTTAAAAGTGAACAGTTTTAAAAACCTAAGGTTGGTGCATTTTACAGTGTATTGAAGAATCCTGTCCTCATTTACTGCAAGGATGCCTCCAAGCCAATATGCTTGCATTGTAAATGTGTCGTAATCTCTCATCAACAAGGAAAAACTATAGTACTTACCAGTTATTGAAAATATTTTGGGGGATTTAAAAAACAGATAAATGGTAAATATGTGTAATGAAATTTTTGGTTAAGAAAGTAAAATTTTATCTAATACTAGGTTTTTACCTTTTTCACTGTGGTTTGATATATATTTTTGGTTAGAATGTAGTGATTGTTTTTATGATGAGATGTATATTTTACTTGCATTTACTCTTAAGTGGTTTCTCTTTTTCTATTGAGAATATTTGTTGAATTAAATAAGTAGGATTTCAGTTAGAAAAAGGAATTCAGAAAATAACTGGTCTCAATCTGATTATATGTGCTACATGGCCAAATCCTATTACAATGAATTCTAAGGTGATTCAAATTGTTTTATTGTTATAGAAATAAGCAGGGCTGGGCATGGTGGCTCACACCTGTAATCCCAGCACTTTGGGAGGCTGAGGCAGGAGGATCACGAGGTCAGGAGTTCAAGACCAATCTGGCCAACAAAGTGAAACCCCATCTTGACTAAAAATACAAAAATTACCCAGGTGTGGTGGCATGTGTCTGTAGTCCCAGCTACTCAGGAGGTTGAAGCAGGAGAATCATTTGAACCCAAGGCAGAGGTTGCAGTGAGCCGAGACCATGCCATTGCACTCCAGCCTGGGTGACAGAGTGAGACTCTGTCTCAAAAAAAAAAAAAAAAAAAAAAGAAATATGCAGAAATCATATGGCTTCGAAGTCATAAAATATTTTTCTTGTAATAGTATTTAAGCAATTTGACCTTATATGCAAACGATAAGTGAATATAAATAGGTTCTAGTTCAATTCACATTTGACAACATTAAAATAATTATTAGGAACACCATATGAATTTTCATTTACATTTGCTGTGGTATAAATTTTGCTTTTAATGAATGTTTATTAGCCAAGATTCAGTTTCTCTTTGAACCCAGAATTTTACAAGGCTAGGGGTTGGGGAGGGGAGTTATTGGATACTTGTTAACTTTTTCAGCATATTATCATCCCTCTTCTAAGAGTCAAGTATTATTCACTTTGCTTCTTATAACCCAGAGAATGTGAAAATTCTCTTCTATTTTATGTAGCACTATTCACTTAACATTTTTTCAAAGCACTTTGTAGGATATAAAAATAGTACCAGGTAACATTTAAGTAAAGGTAGCAGAAAACAAAAGAACTTTGAAACAGAAATTATGTTCCCTGCCACCTCCTCCACCTCAAAGAATAATAAGCATGTGGCACAAATAGAGTTCTTCAGAAAAGCTGTCTGCATAATTTTTCTTCAAGGTAATGTGTTTGACAGCATGAAGTTTGTGATGATCTTAATTGGTCTACTATTTAGTGGAGTCCTAGAATCTCTCTGATTTACTGCTGAGAGATTATTATTTCACCAGTATATGTGAAGAGGCTTGCTAAAGGCATTAGATATGGATCATGACAGGGCACCAATTTGGCTTCTGTATGCAATCCAGCATTAACTTCATCCACAAATTTCTAACTTCAAGTTGCCTTATTTTTTATAGTTAAGAATGTTTCTAGAGGTTTACAGCAGAATTTTAAAAATAATTGTTAGGCTTTAGAATCCTACTGTCTGAGAAGACCTTTTTAATGTCAACCTTACTGAACTATGTAAAGTCTACTTTCTAATTTCATCTGATACTCAATATAGCAGGGTTTGATTTTCTGCCTGCCATTTCTGTGTTGGTTTTTTTTTTTTTTAAATCCTCATTTAAGATTTAGAGTTCTTTAGGTCCAAATTCCTGTGATGTTTTATTGGGTAACATAAAGTCTCTTTTGAGACTTTTTTGAATTATGAACGCATAATTCAAAATTTCAATCCATGGTATATCTTATGGTACATTTTTGAAAAGAAAATTTGTAACGCTCCTTAGTTACAAAAATTTATTAGAAGGAAGCTACATAAAATTCAGGTGTCCTGATTAAATTTAATTTGATTCAACACACATATTAGGCATAACTTCTGCCTAACACTATTTGATAAGATGCACAGGCTCCCTGCCCTCCAAGAGCTCAACCTAGGGAGCAGTGACAACAGAAAACTGGGTTGAGATTACGACAAAGAGCCGTGGATAATGCTGCAACCTGAGTGGCACAGAGGGCAGTACACAGAGAGAGCAATTAATTTTGGTGTGAGGAAGCTGGTGATCTGAATACAGCAGCAGTTTGAAAGTGTTCCATTCTTAAATAAACAGTATGTTCATTCTGATTTGTGACTAGGTGTAGAAAAAAGCCTGTATAGTGTTACCTATTTATAGTAGTTATTTGTAAAAAATGTTAAGTGGATGAGCTATTATTAAAGTAAAAGTTTCATTTTTTTCCTCATTAAAATTAGTTACTGTGGATCAGAGGATGAATAATACTCTGTAGAAAAAAAGATTTCAAGTTGAATTAATTTATGTACTGATTATTAATACAGAATAAATGTTATGTTGACTCATGTTTATTTATTTGGATCTTTTAAAAGAATGCTGGGCAAACTATGTTCATTTCCTAAAACTATAAAGATCACATTGATGGAACTACTGAGTTTGCACTATAAAAAGTTCTACTCTGCTGATTGGGAATTGGACAGAGAGACTTTACAATGACACTCCTAAAACAGTCCTTCAGCAAGAGAGATACAAACACCTACAATGTTTAACTAACTCAATCAAAAGAACAGTCCTGAATTTGATGACATCTGTGAATTTGATAAAAGCACAGTTTTCATCTCTTGCTATACTCGTCTTTTCTGCATTAACCTATGAATTAATGATTTTTCAAATAACGAATCAATGTGAAAATGCTAGAATTATTCAGATGGTATGTACTAAAGGTGGGTGTTTAAAAAGTTCTGTTTACTAAGGCACTGATTTAATTTAGGTAACGTTAACAACTTATCTTTTCATAACCACAGCCCAATGATAATCCAGCCGAAGGAAGGACTGTACTTTCCAAATCTTGGGAACAACTTAAAAGTTGATAGTACTTTAAAAGTCCTAAAAGTAAATCTAGCTCC